GCAGTGTTTCGTTCTGCTGTGCATGGGGTCGCTATGAGTCGGAAACGACTCGACGGCACTTAACAACAACAACAACATGAACATTTTTGTACGTATCTCCCTGTGCTCACAGATAAGAGTTTTTATAAGATACACACCTAGGAATGGAAACCCTGGGATGTAAGACATGGACATGTTTAACTTCACAAGATAATCTTAAATTATTTATATTCCTACTAGCAATGATGCATAACCTATCCAAATTTTGGTATTATAGATTTTTTTGTCAATCTAGTGATGCAAAATAATAATCTGTTGTGGTCTTATTTTGCAATTTACTTATTAGTAATTATGTCAAACAACATTTCATATGCTTATGGTCCATACATGATCCCTCTTCTGTGAAATGCCTGTTTGTGTCTTTTTTCCATTTTCCTATTGATTTGTCTTTTTCTTATTTATTTGCAGGAGTTTTTCATATATTTTTGATACTAACCTTTTGTGGGGTATATATAGGTATGTGTCATTCAGACAACATCGTATGACTTCATATATATCCACGGTCCCCTAAGTTTTTTTTTTTTTTTTTTAAGGGAAAGCAGCTCTTCTTTTATTATTTTCCCCTAATGGTTTAATGGGAGCTCTGGTAGCATAGTAGCTAAGGCATCTGACTGCTAACTAGAAGGCTGGTGGTTCAAACCCAGCAGCCACTCCTCGGAAGATGGGGCAATCTACTTCCATAGTGATACTGCCTCAGAAACCCAAGGAAGGGTCGCTGTGAGTCAGGTCTGACTTGACGGCACATAACAATAACAACAGCAATGGTTTTAAAGATCCTAAACCCAGACTCTTGCAGCAGTAGATCGCAAGTGAGATACAGGTAGGTGAGGCAGAGAACATGGCTCTCTCTGGGTGTGGACTCTCAGGATGCCAAGATGTCAAAACCTTAATTTCAATACTTATTAAGAAAAGCTTTCAAGATTGTAGCAGTTAGCAAGATTTGAACATCAACTATGGGTTAGATATTTGTATTGCATCAATTGTAAATTTTCTGATTTTAATAAATGAACTGTGGTTACATAATGGAATGTTCTTGTCCTGAGGAAATACACACTGAAGTATTTAGGAATTCAGAGGAAAATAAGTGTACATATGTGTGTGTGTATGTGTAGGAAGAGAGAAGCAGAGAGAGAAAGAGACAGATAGGAAGACACACACACACATGCAGATAATGATAAAGTAAAGGTAAATGCTAACAATTGTTGAATCTCGGTGAAGGAGATATGGGAGTTCTTTATATTTAATATTTCAACTTTTATATAAGTTTGAAATTATTTCAAAATAAAATTTAACAAATCTTTTCAAGACAGCACCTAATACAAAAAAAAAAAAAAAACTGCACTGCCATTGAGTTGGCCCCGACTCATAACAACCCCTCCTTGGGTTTCCAAGGCAGTATTGCTACAGAAATAAATTGCCCAACCTTCCTTCTGAGGAGTGGCTGGTGGGTTTGAACCACCAACCATCCAGTTAGCAGTCAAATGCCTTAGGCACTATGCCACCAGAGCTTCTGCATCTAATACTAACAGTAAAATATATTTGTAATTCCACATGAACCCCAGCTTCCATGATCCTGAGAGCAGAAATACTAGATGATGCCTAGCTACCACTGCTGACCACTCTGAAAGGGATAAGAGGTCCCAGATAGTCTAGATGTAACCATGGGTCTCCCCTTGTCCAGTGCAAAGAAGAATGAAGAAAATCAAAGACACATGGAAACAATTAGTCCAAGGGACTGGCAGACCATGTGATCCTCAGCCTATATGTCCATGAGACCAGGAGAACTAGATGGTGCCTGGCTACCATTGTCAACCACTCGGAGGGGGATCTGTGTAGGAGATCCTCGATAGAGTGGAAGAACAATGTGGATAAAAAACTCAAGATTATTTAAAAAAAAAAAGACCAGGTTTGCTGGTCTGATGGAGCCTGGTGCACCCCCTGAGACTATGGCCCCCAGATGTCCTTCAGGTCTGGAATTGAACTCACACCTGTGGTTTCCAGCCAAATAAAAGACTGGCATATGGGCTGAAATTTACATCAGGTAGACACACTCCTTGGAGAGAACAGAGGGCTGTACATGCACAGGGAGACTGCTCAGGGGGCAAGAGTACATGGGAAAGAAGGGCACAGGGAAGCGGTAACTATGGGGAGGAAATGGGAAGAGAGCTGTTACATTGTGGGAAACTGCAGTCAATGCCATGAAATAAGATGTGTATGAATTGCCGTATGGAAATTGAATTTGCTCTGTAAACTTTCACCCAAATCACAATAAAAATAAAAAAAAAAAGAGGTCCCAGAGAGAGTGAGGGAAAATGTGGAACAAAATTCAAAATCATAAAAAAGACCAGGCTTACTGGTCTGATGAAGACTGGTGGAACCCCCGAGACTATGGCCCTTACACATCCTTCAAGATAGAATTTGAATTTAACTCCCATGACTCAACTGGTAGCCATATGATAGAGAGACCTATAAGGTGAACAGTGATATCAGGAGGGTATACACTCATTAGAACAATCAAACATAGGAGGTCAAGGGGACAGCATTTGCTCAGGAATAGAGCTAGGAAGGCAGGAGGGGATTGGAAGGAAGAATGAAGGGAAGGGGTGGGTGTAGGGAGGAACTGGGAAAAATGCTGTTCCAGTGTGGGGATCCCAGTAAATGTCACAAACAGAATATGTATAGATTGTTGAAAGGAAAACAAATGTGCTCTGTATACTTTCACCCAGATCATATTTTTTAAAAAATGCCATTAACTTAATCTGAAGAATAGATCTGATGCACTGAACACCAGTGACCAAAGACCAGATGAGTTGTGGAATGACATCAAGAACATCATACATAAAGAAAGCAAAAGGTCATTAAAAACATGGGAAAGGAAGACCAAAATGGATATGAGAAGAGACTTTGAAACCTGCTCTGGAATGGAGAGTAACTAAAGTAAAAGGAAGAAATGTTGAAACAAAAGAGCTGAACAGAATATTTCAAAGAAGGGGCTCAAGAAAACAAAGTAAAAGTATTATAATGAAATATACAAAGACCTGGAGTTAAAAAAACAAAAGTGAAGAACACATCTGGCATTTCTCAAGCTGAAAGAACTGAAGAAAAAATTCAAGCTGTGAACTGCAATATTGAAGGATTCTA